TATTCTATTTATTTCCATTTTTTAATTATTGATATTTAACTATTTCCCGAATTATAATTTCGGTATTTTTTTGGGAGGGGGGAGCATTTTAGCCTTACGCCTATTGACGTAACTACGATTTCATTAGTCATATGGCTAATGAAATCGCAGTTACGTCAATAGGCGTAAAGCTAAAAAGCCCCCCCCCCTCCACCGACCGAATCCAATATCCTAAAATTCTAATTCGGGATTGGCGAGGTGGAGTTATCTTACGCCTCTATGGCTAATGAAATCGTAGGTACGTCACAATATATATACTAGGGACCTCCACTTTTTCGGCATAAATTTTCGATTCCTAAGTTTTTAAATGAATTTTTTAAAAAGAAAAAACATTTTTGAAGATTTCATTTTGGGTTTAATTGAAAGTTTAATAATTACATTTATTATTTCCATTGATTAAACAGTTCTGCTGTATTTCAGATAGAAACTATATACATTGGAATGTCAAATTTAATTTCGATTTCTTAAATTTTCTTAAATTTCGTAATTTTAAGAAATTTGTAAACAAACAAAAATTTATCGATTTAAAAATATTTAAAATAAAAGTTTCTGACACATTCTTTTAGTAAAATTAGGAAATTTAAAGGTAGATAAATCTGATTTGAAAAAATTATTACTTACTTATAGCATAAAAAAGTAATATGCAACCAATTATTAACGATTGGTCCTGTTCATCTGATCAAACGTTTGATGGACTGTTGATTGATGAAGCGATGACAGCTGCTACGGATGACCATAAATAACAATTTTTAGAAATGTGAGTGAACGCTTTCTTTTGTTATGTTTTTTTTTTATTAGAATAAAGGGACAAAACCTTTAGATCACGTGACCTTTTCATAATAATGGCAATTTCAGTCTACCATACATGGAAATAAGGAACGTATTCAGTAAGAAAATACAAAATAAAAAATTATTTTAAAAATAGAATAGCACAACTACGTTTATTAATCTTTTTGTTTTAGATTCGTAAATTTCGTTTCCATTTAATTACTATATCAAATCCAGGAAATAGCCCAATACAGAAATTTACACTATTTTAAACTATTATAAATTATTATAATTAAAATTAAAAAATAAATTCTTGCAAAAATTAATTATTCATCAGAAAAAAATTATTTCTTCAGACAATAATGTGGTTAATATTAGTTATTTACAAAAGCAAGCTTTTCTAATTAACTAATGTTATAGTTTTATTGGATTCATTATTTTTCAATTCAGAGCAGATTTCAGTTAGATAGCTCAAATTAGAAAAAAAAAGTAGGTGAATTACAATCTCCAAAGTATTTACTTTTAACCAAAAAAAAATATATTCAGGAAATAGAAAGGTTTTTTGCGAAATTTCATGAAATTATGTAAATGGGGGGGACATATATGAAGACAATTAGCAAAATCGTCTAAAAAAGAATTTAAAAATAATTTCATTCATTTGTGAATAAGTCCTGAAAATTTCATTCAAATCGGACAAATACTTTATTTTTACAAGAATTTCCAAATCAATGCGTTTTCAACGGGAAAAAAAGCACAAAAAAACAATGTTATTTTAACGTCACCGCGATGACGTAAACAAAAGAAGACTTTAACCAAAATTTCGAACGTGTTAGAAAGGATTAAAAATTTTCAAACTATTGTTTGAAAATTAAAAAATACTTTAATCTTTCGTAAACATTTTGACGATAAAAAGTTTCTTTTCATTCTTTTTCATTACTCTATCAGTTTTCCAGCGAAAAACGGAGGTACCTAATATATACATATGTCCAACAACATCACTTGATAAGACACCAGAAGTGTTAAAAGAAAATGGCTATTTTTGTAGTGATTTTATAAAATATTTATGTTATAATTTTCAAATAAATAATTCTATGTGCTCTACTCTGTATTGAACACTCTTTTAAGAATAGTATTTTTTGGTTATTGGAATTTATTCCGTATACACAAACCTATATATATATATATATATATATATATATATATATATATATATATATATATATATATATATATATATATATATATATGTATATATATGTATATCACCACAGACAGCCTGTTTCGCTGTATCACAGCTCATCAATGTGTCTAGACGTCTGGTTGCATCGAGATAAGATCGAAACCTGACTGAAATGGCGTCAGTCGGTGATTCTACAACTATGTGTGTGTGTGAGTTTGTATTAATTAATTAATTAATTAATTAGTATATATAGGCATAACTAATTAATTAATTAGTATATATAGGGCATAACTATGTTTTTAGGCGTGCGCCAAAACTTAGGTACACGTATATGTACTAATTAATACATATCTTTGCTCTGTATAACGGCACTGAGCACTATTACGTTTACACCTAATGCATAAATTTAACGATTATATATATATATATATATATATATATATATATATTATATACATTTCATTAAATAATATAGACAAGTGTTGTCTTTTTATTTTATGTAAATTTTTTCGTAACATCTGATAAGTTTAATAACATTATCGTTAAACTTATCAGATGTTCCGAAAAAAATTATATAAAATAAAAAGACAACACTTGTCTATATTATTTACCGAAAATGTGTATAATGACAATATGCTTCCTAAATACACACACATATATATATATATATATATATATATATATATATATATATATATATATATATATATTATGATAAATGATATATGTTTATATAACCAAGCATAAAAATTATATAGCATGCATATATCTATATCAATGTGTTTATTATAAACTGCATATTTATCATAATATATCTTGTATATATATATATATATATATATATATATATACAGAGAGAGAGGGAGGGGAGGGAGAGAGAAAGAGAAAGAGAGAGATGTATATATATGTATTCTTGTATGAATATATCTGCAAAATGTACTAATATCTCTTTATTAAAATTCAATACGTATATAAGACATTCTTGACTCCTCCTTGTGAACTTTAAGTTTTCTCATTTCCCAAAACCAAAATTTGCCTCAAATTCATGGAACGAGTTTAAAACTCTCCCTTAAGGCGAGAAGTGAGCACAGTATGTTGGTTTGCCATAAAGGTAGGTAATTTAGTACGTACACACAAACACACACACACGCAGACATATATATATATATATATATATATATATATATATATATATATATATATATATATATATATATATATATATATATATATATATATATATATATATTTTTTATTGTATTATCCACTTTAGCTGTAAGCTGCTTTTCTGTTTGCAAATCTTTTCTTCAATCAGATTTACGGCCTACTGTTCTTAGAGATCTTGCTCACCTATTCGGGATCTCCGAACTGTGATGTATAGTTTCTTTTCTTTTATTTTATTTTTACTTTTAGTTTTTAGTTTTGCTCATCCCAACTTTTCATTCTTTGTTGCTTTCTTAATATGACAGTCTCCGTCGTCGTCGTCGTCTCCGATGTCAAAACGTCACGTCACTAAATCACGTCACTTCACGTCCTTTCACGTCAAATCACGTTTTAGTTCGCTCTCGTAAAATTACGTCACGCGCTCTGAAAGGGTGGCAGAAGGGATGAGATCGAAAAGATTTGCCGTAATATGGTTTAACCTTCTTTATTCATTTATTTCCTTTTCTACTTTGATCTACGACTGCACCCTCCACCTCACCGTAAGTGTACAGTCCTAACAGGTAAGGGGATAGGTTATCAATTGTAAGATTGTTGCCTTGTTGCTTTATTTGATTTGATCTTAGCCATTTTGACAGTAACAGGTGAAAGGAAGAAAAGAAATACAGACAAGACGAAAGCGAAATATAAATCAGGAAAAGAGGAAAGATGATAAAACGAAAAAGAAAATTAAGAGAAAGAGAGAAAGATAATGAAGAAGGTAGACAGAGAATAGGTAATCTAATAAAAGTTCGGCTTGTGAAAAAATCGAAAGGAACCTAGGTAAGTTCGAAAGAGCACGTTAAAAATACAGGATAAATATGAAATCTTATAAGATGTGAAACGACGTTAACTGACTAACTCTCTTGAAAGAAAGAATAAATGAATGAAAATTAGAAAATAATATTAGAAAGTGAATGGCAATCAGAAAACGTGTAGAAAGATGAAAAAGCTAACAAATAAAAAAAAACGAAAAAAAAAAAAAAACACGCACAGTAATACTAAAGGAAATATATATTGAAATGAATAAATTTTAACGAAATAGAGAAAGAAAGAAAAAAGATGAAAGTGCGAATGAAGAAATTAAATAAAAGTGAAAAAGAAAATTGAAGGAAGAAAATAAGTAATAAATTAGAGAATGGAAAAAATATGACGGAAGGAAATTCAGAAAGAAATAAAGAAAGAAATTGAAAAAAGAATTCAATAAGAAATAAAGATATAAATTCAAGAATAAATGAAGAAAGAAATGAAAGAAAAAAATGAGGAAGAAATTAGAGAACGACAAAAAAGAAAGAAATTAGCATGACATTGAATTAAGAAGTGAAAACAAATTTAAGACATCCACGAGAAAGTTATGGAAGCAAGTCAAGAAAAACTGAAGAAATGAATCACGAAAAAATTGAAGAAATAAATGAAGAAAGAAAGAAAGTAAAGAAAGAATTGGATCAAAGAAGTAAGAAAAACTAAGAAAAATAAAAAAAAATACAAAGTAAATTGATGGAAGAAAAGAGAAATTTAACAACGTGATTTAAGAAAGAAATTGGGGGAAAATGAAGAAAGAAATGAAGAAATATAATAAATAAATAAATGGAAAAACGGCATTGTAGAATGAAATTAAAGTTAGAAATGAACAAAAAAAAATTGAAGAAAAAATTGAAGCAAGAAATTGGAGAACGGTAAAAAGAAAGGCACTGGAGAAAGAAATTAGGAAGATATTGAAGAATGAATTGAAGAAAGAAATTTAAAAAAGACATGAATTGAAGAAAGAAAATTTTTTAAAAATGGAGAAAGAAACGATGAAAGAATTGTAGAATTAAATGCAGAAATAAAATAAAGAAAGAAGGAAAGAAAGACTGGTTTTGGAAAAAGAAGAAAATTTGAAGGAAGAAAAGAAAAAATAAAGAAATGAATGAAGAAAGGAATCAGAGAAAGAAATGACGAAATATCGAATACAGAATTTAAGAAAAAAATAAAATACAGAAAAAAGACGAAGAAAGAAACTGGGAAAAGAAATGAAAATTATTTTTAAGGAAGAAAAGAAAAAGAAAGAGAGAAAGCAATAAAGAACGAAAATGGAAAAAAGAAATGGAAAATAACTGAAGAAAGTAAAGAAAGTGATAATAATTATGATTATACAATTAAGACAAATAATTAATACTTAAATACAAGAATCAAAGAAATGAACGACGAAAGAATTGGTAAAAGACATATATTAAGTAAAAAAAATGGAGAAAGCAATGAAGAAAGTAACTGGAAAATGAAATGGAAAAATAATTTGAAGGAAGAAAATGAAAAACGAAGAAAGAAATTCGTGAAAGAAAAAATGTAAGAATTGAAGAAAGAAATGAAGAAAAGCATTTGAGAAAAATGAAGAAAGAAACTAAAAAAGAAATGAAAAAAGAAATTGAAGAAATAATGTACAAAAAAGAAAGAAGACAAAGAAAGGAAGAAAATAATTTCTAAGAACGAAAAAGAATGAAGGAATAATACAATAAAACAATGAAGGAAGATAGGGAAAGAAATAAACAAAAATCAAAGACAAAGAACAACAAAAACAAAAAAGAAAGAACCAAAAATAAGCGAAAAACAATCCAAAATATTAAAAGAATAGAAAATGGTAAAAGCAGACGACAGAAAGCGGGAAAAATAGGATGTGTCAATGGAAGGGAAACAACGTGAAAGTACAACTGAAAGAAATGACGCTGGCCATTTAGAATTATCACAACTTCCTTGCAGACGCCGTCGACTAACCGGATTATACGCCTTTTTGTTTTGCAAAGACCGCGGATTTGTAGCAGGCGCTTCAAAGGATAAGCTGCAGTTCCCCTAGTGATGAAGTAAGTCTCGAATCATGCGATATGACTTTGAAAATACTGCCACGGCTCTCGTTGATCCTTCGACGAGTAACAAAAGAGTTTATGTGCGTACTTAGAGGAGAAAACTTGTGCACTCTGACATACAAAGTTCTTTTGTAAGAATTTCGCTTGTTTGTATAATGTTGCGTAATAGTTTAAAAATGGGGTAAGGAATTTAAACACAATGGCAAAAAAAGGAAATGCCAAAAAATATTCTTGGTAGCAAGCACGTCAGAAGTGAGCTATCGTCTCCACCACGTACAAAACATTCTAATTATTTTCAGTCAATCACAGAGATTTCAGATAGAAAAAAATTATTGTACATATATATAAGCATAGGAAAATCCCTGAGAAATTCTGAGTACCTTTTTAAATAAAGGAGATGAAAAGATTTGCAGTTAATGGCAAAAGATGCTGCAGGTTTGCTTTCAGTTTCCAGCCTATACTTTCCACACAAGTTATCATTTTCGAACACAAACATATGAACACACACCGGGTTTAAGTTTTAAAGATCCAAAGTTAGAAATGAACGCGGATTCACGGGGAATGACAGTAGCAGAGAGTTTAGCGTACAAAGTAATAAAATGACATTATCGAATCTTGGTTACTGTCCTTTGATGTAAAGGAAATCCGGATATGTAGTCGTTCTTTTTTTTGTAGTCGGAAAGGAACAATGCTGTTGTAAAATCGACCAAAATCGTACCTGATATTATATATATATATATATATATATATATATATATATATATATATATATATATATATATATATATATATATATATATATATATATAGTACAAGTGTTGGTATATAATCCAAGTAGATCTCAGTAATATAAAATATTAAAGCTGATACACAAAAAAGTACTCAATATAATTATATAAATTATACAACAGAATCCAAATTTTCTATTTGATGTGTAATATATATATATATATATATATATATATATATATATATATATAGGTAGGATGGAAACGAATAGAATATATTTCTATCGTTCGTAACATTAAATTTAACAGAGGGCTCAATTATTTTTGGTATTTTGCATTGATTTGTGGATATTATTAACATTTTATTTCGATGATATTTATTCGACGGTTGCATATTATTTACCAAATAAGTCTATAAGTTTGTATTATCTACTAGTTTCTTAAAGAGGTCTATGATTTCTCAACTCCAAAGAGAAGAAAGAAAAATATATCTAGGAAATCCACAACAACCCCGCTTTTATTTCTTATGAAAGTTCATTGTCTATCATGTGTATATCTATTGTAACCATTTGTTTTGTTGCTTTTTAAGTTGGTTTTGTTGGATTATTATATATATATATAAATGCTTATATATATATATATATAAATTATATTTTATTTTCGCATATATATATATATATATATATGCATATATATATATATATATATGCTGATATGGATATCTACTATGCATATATATATATGCATTTTATATATGCATATATATATATGATTTCCGGGCATATATATATATATGGTATATATATATATATATATATATATTAATATAAATATATATAAATATAATATATATATAAAATATAGCTAAATATATATAGTGTATATATATATATACATATATATATATATATATATGGTATACATGTATATATTTATATATATATATATATATACGTTTGCGTGATATCGTAATATATATTCTCTGTAGTGGATGCGCATATCCTGAAAAGTCTCAAAAATTATATATATATATATATATCAATGCTGAATGGCTTCTAATGCCTGGACCTCTGATTTATTCATTCTGAAGACACGGGGGGTTTAGTGGTAAGGACGCTTCTTCGATTCTCTGATGAAAAGTTCAAAAATACGAAACGGCCGACCTCTGATTTATTCATTCTGTTGAAATTCTTCTTCGATGAATTAATATATATATATATATATATATATATATATATATATATATATATTTATTAAAGACATTTTATGTTTAACGTTCTTTTATAGATACAAGTATTTAAGTAAATGCTCTGTTTATAATAAACAGTATTAAATAACATTTACCGGCCTGAATGTCCGAAAAATTTTCATAGAAAATATTCGTCCTTGACAGGATTTGAACCTGCATCCTATACGGAACCGTCATTTACATTTCTGGCCGAGAAAATTTCTCGACATTCAGGCCGGTAAATGTTATTTAATACTGTTTATTATAAACAGAGCATTTACTTAAATCTATAAAAAGAACGTTAAACATAAAAATGTCTTTAATAAATAAATTGTCGGACTTTGTCCATTTCTTAATATATATATATATATATATATATATATATATATATATATATATATATATATATATATATATATATAGCAGTAGAGCCCGGCGTTGCCCGGGATGTAACAGTAAGAGATAGATCAAGTATCGACCATCATAAAGACTGAAAATAAAATTGACAAAGATTATTGTTTAAGGTTGACGGACACGCATGTCTTAATTAGTTTTTTTTTTTACGAATTGGTCAAACCCAAACTCAAACAAAAACATTGTTTTCAATCGTTATGAGTCTATCGATTGGTGTATAGAATTTTATTATAAACAATTGTCTTGTAAATGGAATTTTTAAAGCATTCTGAATGTAAAAACAAAGAAAAAAATGTGCAAGACAATAAGAAACACTACCTGCCAAAAAAAAGTGAAATCGGTTGAAAAATGTAGGTAGCCTTTCTCTGTAATCTTTTACAATTTATGATTTTTACTTATTGAATACAGTAAAAAAAAATGCATATTTTGCTTGTGGTGATTCATAATTAGAATTCTGATTTGAATATATTTCCCACTCGTTGTTTCTAATACAAAAAATATTAACTTTATTTGGGTTTATTAATTTATTACAAGTACTGTGTTCTTTCCTTAATAATTATCATCTTCGAAATATTGTTGTTTTTTGTCTATCAGATTTCTTACTTTGGCATTTTTAAATTATTTCTTAATACTTTCTTTTAAATATTGAATTAATTTCAAATAGAACCAATGCCTTATTGATCTGCCTTGTAACAAATTGCAAAGGGAATTGTAAAAACGGCCCTAAAGTACGTGGAATTATCTTTCCCTAAAGATAAAGAATTATCCGATTTTTCGATTCGTACAATCAGTAGAGATCGTTAGATTATTGTTTAGGTTGACGGACACGCATATCTTAGTTTTTTTTTTTTACGAATTGGTCAAACCCAAACTCCAACAAAAACATTGTTTTCAATCGTTATGATGAGTCCCCCGATTAAATAGAATTAGAATTTTATTATAATTTTGTTGCAAATGGATTTTTTAAAGCATTCTGAATGTATAAATAAAGAAAAAAGTGTGCAAGACAATAAGAAATACTACCTGCCAAAAAAAAAATGGATGTTTGTTTTATCGGCTGAAAAATGTAAGAAATCCGATCCCATATATAAAGGAACACACACACACACACACACACACACAAAAAAAAAAAAAAAACAACCTGGGTTTTTTTTTAAGTCACTCCACGGAATCGCTAAAACATCGAGCATAGTCTGATGAAAAAGACGCCAAAGTTTATGAAAACAAAATTTTATCGTCAAAATGCTTATGTTTTTATGAAGAGGATAGACTAAATTTTTTAAAATTATTTTAAAAAAATTTTCCATCTTTTTAGAATATTCTAAATTTTGATTTAAAAAACTTTGTTTCTCTTTGTCGCAACAAGGGGTAGTAAACAACAGATAATTTTTAGCTCATTTTTTTGTATTTACGCACATTAATTTGGAAAATCTTGCAAAAATAAAAATAATTGTCAGATGTTAATGAAACTTTCAGAAACTATTCACAGATGATCGGAATTATTATAAATATGTTTTTTTTTTTATTAAAGTCATGACAGAAATGTTTTTTTATGTTTATTAACGCCCCCATAACTAATTTTATGAAAATTCGAGATTTTTAGTGATTACAATAGTTAAAAGCACAAGGCTTTGAAGAATGCAAATCATGTTTTTTTTTGTTTTTTTTTGGCCAACGTACCTGAAAATCAGCTGTGAATTGTAACATACAAAACTCAATAAAACAAATATATTATTTAGTTTCAAATGCTTTTATTTGTTTTTAATTTGTTTTTTTATGAATATGGACAATATTTTCTGAAAGCAAAAAATTTTTCAATGAAAATTGAATTTTAATACAATTATTTCTTATTTCTTTAATTTTAAAAAGATTTTTTTAAATTTTAAAATTGAATTTTAAAAAATATTTTAACATTAGTTAAAAGCAACATCAACCTTTCAAAATGTCCGTCTGAGATTGTCATTGTCTAGCGCTTTGAAAATTGTATAATTTGGACCAATCAGATTAGCCATGGTAATTAAGGAATGTAATTTTGTGTTTATAGTCGGACAGTAATTATCAAGTACGGAAGACCAACCAGAATACAATTTAGTTGCATTATTTGAGTTCAGCATTGTTCTCCGCTGTTAAGCCCTTTACTTTTGCGAAACACGTATGGAGAAGTTAATTTGAGTTTTCAATTTCAACTGAGAAGGGTACCTACAAGTAACAGTATCATCTTATGAAATTTAACTACTGCTAAACTTTAA